TATATATACATATACACACACACACACACACACACACACCTTTTTTCAATTCTGCATATATTTTTGTCTATAAATTACATTAAAAATAAAATCATTTTTACAGAAAATATTGGCAAAAGAAAACCTTTTTAAAAAAAATAAACAATTGCCCTTGACGCATAGGTAAAACCCAGGTTAAAAACAGTGCTTGTAAAGGTGTCCCAATATTAGGAAATAAAATATGGGAAAAATGGACCACTGTGGGTAGCACCACACCACCTGAAAAAAGAATCTAATATCTAGGAAAAGTCCTCCCACAAACCCCAAATTTTCCAATGTTTGTCCGGACTATATCTGTGGACATAAATTAGCTTTTCATAAGGAATCACTTGGTTGACCAGATCAGTCCAATGAGACAGTTGTGATCCCGACTGCATCCATTTAAAAGCTATTACTTAACAGGTTATAAATAAGCAGAGATAACTCGGCAAGACCAGATCATATGGAAAAAATCTTGCTTGGTTGCGTGCATCTCAATCAATGATACATAGGAATATTTATCATCCAACAGAGCTACATGGGCGTTAAATAGGCCTGATGAATAGCAAATAATTTAATAATTTTATTAACAGCTGGTGATACTGAGATGTGAGGAGCAGATTTCTTCCCAATCCTCATCTGATAAGGAAGGGATACAATACTGCCATTTAGATCTAACTGACAGAGGGGATCCCACCAATTTAGCTGACAACAATCGAGAGTATAACACAGAAACCAGACCCTTACGACTTAAAAATGCCTATGAACAGATACTTGGAAATCCACACCCTAGAAACCCAAATTGAGAGTTAATGGCATGGCGCAACTGCAGGTAATGATAAAAAAATCTATTCTAGAAAGACCAAATTTCGACTGCAACTGAGCAAAGTACTCCCTCACTAACAATGTCTGACAATATCACCACGTCCTTACTCCCCCAAAACTGATTATCTGGGATTGTTTGGAAGTCAGTTAAAGTCATATTATCCCATAAGATATTATCATAAGAAACATCGGAGTAAGAAAACTACTTTTTACATTCTCCCCTGATCACCCTAGCAAGGGATTCGAAAATAGGGATACACCTCCTTGGTCAGTTTGTTGTTGAACCTGGAAGTCAGAAGGTCCATATGCTGCATTTCCCACCCGTGACAGAGGTCTTGAAACAGCTATGAATGAAAAGACCACTCGCCTGAGTCCACAAGTTGTCCACTGAGAAAGTCTGCCTGCCAATTTTCCACACTTCTCTTGGTCCCTGATGGTTGATGTAAGCCACTGCAGTGGCATTGACAGACTGAATCCTAGTCGGATGACCAAGCAGTCAAAAAGTCCATTGTTAATAGGGATAACCAAATTGCTGTGAGCTCCAGAATGTTGATCGAAAGACAAGCTTCCTCTGCTGACCAAGTCCCTTGCACCGAAAGAGATTTCAGGACTCCTCCCCAGTCTGACAGACTGGCATCCATTGTAAGGACCTTTCCGACCAGTGGGAGGAAGGATTTCCCCAAATCCAGGGCCAGAATTGCGCTACAATGGTCTATAGCACTGGCGGAACTACCAGGGTCGCAGCGATCGTAATTGCGACCAGGCCCTGGCGTTCCGCCTGTTGGGTGGAGGGGGGGCAGCGAGGAAGAAGAGCCCCCCTCCCCCCCCGAGATCGTGCTGCTTTTTCAGTGCTGCTCTGCTACCCGCAGCATGGACGGGCGGCTGTGCGGCGGGGATTAATAGCACCAACTATGTAGGACTACAAGTCCCAGCAATACATTATATTTTTAAGTAGGGATACACCACTGCCAAAACTAGGCATTTTCACGAGTACTCATACGCGTGAAAATGCCCTGATACTAAACGCAGATACCGGTGTTCTGTCGAGAAGTCAAATTTGCCGACCTCAGCATCTTTGCTTGCGCACAGACCAGTATTATCGAGAAAACCGGGATTTATTTACAAAGTATTTTGTTCAAATTGTTAATTGTGACAGTTAATATTCCAGGCATCATTTACTGCCATGGACGGATTCACCTGACCCTTTGCAAAGTTTGAACAGTTTGTTGGACATTGACTGACAGTGTCCTAACCAACTCTTCCTACAGTAGTAGGTCTTCGAAAATATATTTAAAGTGACTCTGTCACCAACCGAAAAAATTTCAGTCAAACACAGAAATATCAAGTATTTTAAATGCTTACTTGCAGTGATTTTTCTTTCCCAAAATGACTGTTTACTCACCAGCAATGTGGAAAAATTAAACACTTCAAGAACAGTCGTTTCTATAGCATAGTCCCCTCCCTCCTTGCATGTCATAGCCCTCTGCTTTCTAAGAGTATCCAATTACTCGTTATGCTGCCTCTCCCCTCACTAGATACACTTTTATGTAGTTTAGGGTTTGACAAATTGGCTTTGAATCTAGGAGCCAGCTAAAAAAAGTTAGTTTTTGTTTTAAACTAACAAGGCTTTATTTTCAACAGTTGTAATTTTCAGTTAGTTTTAAATGGCACATGCATTAATACCCGACATGTGTACCACAATTGTCGTTTCCATATGTAGGTACACCCAAATTGTGTTTGTTAGTATGCGTGCATTCGCGGGGCCTTTATATATATATTTTCTTTTGGGGGGGGGGGAGCATTTTTAATTTTAATACATTTTTTTTAACTTAAACTTCATTGTTATCACATGGGGGGAGGGGGGTCACAAGCCCCCTATGTTATAGCACATTGGAGATGACAGGTTCTCTTTAAGGTGACATTAGGGGTCTATTAGATCCCTAGTGTTACCTTTGCACTTCAATAGCTTTAGCTGGAGAATGACGGCAGCCTGCTAAGGCAGCTGAATGTAAACACAGCAGGCAGTGGCTGGGAGCAATAGCCAGCCTGCTGCTGGCTATTTCAAATTGCAACAGCCAATAGCAGGCTGGCTATTGCACCCACCCACTGCCTGCTGTCAACTACCAGAGGAGGGAAACAAATATGCAGATCAGAAAAGTCAAGGAAATAACTCAGATTCTGAGCATGTGTTCAATCTGTCAATCTGTGAGTATTATAGCAAAAGGATCGGCACAACAGCTAGGCAACTAGCATTTTCAAAAAAAGGTCAGAAAAGGCAGCCTCTATGCTTCCCTCAATGGCATGCTTTCATTAAAGAAGTACCCCGGGACAAATAAAATCTAACCCTTGCAGTGAGGCTACTCTCGCACTGCCAGCGTCAAGTGGTCGTTTTAGTTTAGGGTGTAAAAGAAAAAAAGACATACTTATCCAAACCTCGGTCCCATTTGGTTGCTAGACCAACTGGTATGCAGTTGACCTCCTTATCAACCTACTTCAAGCTGCTTTTAGTTTCCTATTGACTCGTATGAGGAGAGCGGCAGCTCTGATGTGAACTAAAGCCTGTTAACACAGGACTTTCCTTAGTGAATCTCTGCCCTTAACAAACATTCACATTCCAGGGGTCCGAACACCTAGTATGCTTATGCTTGTCCTAGGTCAATGACTCGCCAAGTAGTGAAGAAAGCCTACGATTATCAGCCCTGGAGCCTGCCTTTAACAAGGCAGCAATGGTAGTACCCATACTTCTATCCTGACAGGTTCCTTTAAAATGACAGTCATTTGTAAACTGGCCTCCACAAATTTAATCCAGAATGATGTAGTTTCTCATAGCTTTAGAAAAAACATGAACTATACCATCGGGCATTTTAGAGAAAGTGCTGGACAGTGTACACATACCTTCCTATCTTGCCCTGACAGCAGTTGAGCTGTATCTTCCTCTTTTTTCTTCTGTATGTCATCATATATACTGTCATATTCATACACAGAGGCATCCTCCTCCAGGGCTCTCTGGATCTCCAGCTTGGTCTTGGAGAAAAAAAAAAACATAAACATGAACATTTCTGCAATTTATCACATTTTATTACAATGACCTCCGGGTGATTAAGGCAAACTTACCAGGCCCCCCTCGCTGTAAAAGCCCAGGTGGGGCATCATGCCTGCCAGTTTTATAAGGTATATTTACCAGAAGAGTATACAAAAATGTTATTAACTTGTTAAGCAAGACATATGTTTCACAAAAGTCAAGAGAAAGAATTTTAAGTGTTTACTTAATGAGCTTCTGTACAGGGATAATGTATGTACATCAGATATCTACAAACGCTCAACCCTCAATGTTTAGCATAGCTTTCCAGCTACTATTGGGTAAAAAGTCTGAATGCTTGGTATTGTTACTGCAGTGGATACTGGTCAGTGGTACTGGAAATAACACTAAATAAGGCTTTCACCCAAATTTCAAACACAAATCTAAAATTATGCTACATGATTTTTGGTTTTCAGTTAACCTGCCATATGGGAAACATGCACCCTACTTCGGCAGTTTCTAGACGTATAGGTCTTAGTAAAAAAACAAAAATAAATAAATCAGCCCCTCTCTCCCTTTACATACTAATAGCCAACTACAGTAGTTGCTAGCCATTCGGATTAGGATTAAAGAAGAACTAAAGCCAAAAAGTAAAAAAACTGCAGGTAGGCATGATCTTTATTACAGAAGAGCCATTCTACAGTATGTATCCTCTGCACTAAAACAAACTAACCTGCCTGCTCACAATCTTCTTTAGAATGTACACTGAACTGGGTATGCATCCCTCAGTGCTGGGATGAATGCACTTGGGATGAATGAATTTGGGATGAAAGAAGCTAACCAATTAAAATAGTCAAGGAGCCCTTAACCAGAACAAGCTCGGGATAAAATGTAGGCACCAGCACGGGAGCTTGCGGACTTAAAATTGCTGGAGTGGAGCCATTTGTGAACATAAAGTGAGCTTTTACCACTTTCACTAAAAATCACATTAGCATGCAGCTCTGCATCATGATATGAAATCATCTTATATTATATTAGTCAAATATTTTTTTCTTTTACTCACAATTATTGTTTTTCCACTTCATGGTCTTCTTAGGCATTAGCGATGTAGCCCATGCCTAAGAGATACATCCTGGGAAGGCTACATCACCGTGCATTACTGGGAAATCTCATCTGTAAACTGCAAAATCTCGCAAGCTCTCAGGGAAAGGCATTTGTTTCCTACCCTGAGATAATGTGCATGGTCACATGTTCTAGTTACATGTACCAGAGTTCTAGGAAGTAAAGGTAGATGGATTCAGCTGCCCTTATTGAAAATGGCCACCATGGGAGGAAAATAAAAATAAGGTATGCAAAGAGTAAAAAGCCGGCAATTATCTATAAATACGTTTGTCATTACCAAACATGTCTAGAGGTGTCTTTGTTGTCATTTTAAACATGAGGGTAAAGTTCCTCTTTAACTGTAGCAAAAATTATCACAAAAAATGCACCTGTGCTTTGCCCATGCTCTTTAATGCCAGCCCCTGCAGCTCCTTATACATTTCACTACTCACCCAAGAAGCTTCCTTCTTTCCTTATAGACACACAGGTAACTCAGTAGCCTTAATCAGATCACTGTGGATTGTATCAAGGCAAATGCTGATTGTTCAAGAACATGGGAGGTGTAAAAGTTTGTGAATAGACCCTATCCCAATTACATAATCTAATCACTATGGTGCCTTAAAGTGTTAATCGTTCAAGTTGCAAGGCTGAAGGTGACAACTGTTGTCAAATTGCCAGGGTAGATATTAAAACGGCATTATATGGGTGTCATTAGGCTAGCAGAACCAGCAAGAGTCTGAATGTTATTATAAAGTTAGGGGTTAACTGTGTGATGTTCATATATGATTGAGGTGCTACAGATATTCTCCTGAGATAAAAATGCTGATGACCGATTCATCCCTCGGCTAGCAATTCAATTCTGAAATGCCAGTTTGTGGAGCACATTCCCTTCCAGCAAAACAGTTTGCATTTTACACAGTACCTGCTTCATTCCTCTCTTCTTCAAGGCCTCCTTCTGTAGACTCTGCCCAACCGAAGTCTGAAAATAAAATAGAACATCATACCATTAATATAATCACCAAGTTACATATTGGCTGTATACATAAGATACATCATACTGATCCATTTTAAAATGTATTATATTAGTGGCAATAAGTGATCTGTAAGATTCCAAAAGTGTGCTTTTCCATGGGAGCAAAGAACCAGCATCTGTATATGGCTGTCATGATCCATTCTCCATCAGAGGGGCCTTTTAGAATGCAGAGACACAAGGGCATTGTTTTTCCTTCATTCGACACCAGTTGCTTTACACCAATAACAAGTGATGAACTTATATTACTACACATGACCTGTCATCACTGTTCTCTAACATACACACAGCTGAACCGAACATGCAAAACCTCACAAGAGCAAGTCAAATAATGACATTATTTAAAATCAGCCTTTTTTTGACAAACAATGAAGTAGAAAGACTTAAATATGTAAAAAAATATAATAATAAAAACAAACACAACAGTCTCCTGAAAATATAAAGCAGATTAAATAATCTAGGAGGTAAGCTTCTCATAAAACCAAAAGCTGATCATTTTATGACCTTTTGGCATAAAGCCTATTAAAACTGGGCTATAGGTTAGCATTCATGCATACAGAGCTAAAAGCATACTCGGTAGGTTAATTAACTTCTACCTAAACTAGACCCTACAGTGGGATTAGATAAATGGGTTTGGTGGGGAACATCAAACAAAGAAAGGCTAACATTCACATGTGCCTCAGTAATACTGTGTATCCACTAAGGTTCCAACATGTTTTCAAGACATTTTATCTCAACCAATTTAAAGTGACACAAAACTCAGGAGTTAAAGCTTAAAAATGCATTCAAGTACCTTAACTATTAACAACAATGTGTCTTATTTGTGTATTACTCGGCTGTAGATCCTCAAATCATCTCTGAATTGGTGCTGCCATTGTCCTTCCTTCTGGAGGGTGGCTACTTTTGTTCCCCATGGTCCCTGTGTGTGTTGTAAAGTAGCCACCGCTCCTGTGATGGACTACAATCTAAATACAAATTAGTAAACTAAACGTGAGATTGTAGTCCATTACGGTATTTTAATGCATTTCTAAGATTTCACTCCTGAGTTTAGTGTCACTAACTTAAATACAACCGAAAAAGGGGTTAAAGTGCATTTAAACCCAAGAAGAACAAAATATTATATTGCAACTTAACAGTCCTCAGATGTAGCTGCATTAGTTTTCTTAGTTCAGATTACTTTATATTGCCAGTGACACGTTTCCTGTTCTAGGGTGACAATGCTCTCTGCAATCTATGAAGGAGCAGCATCGCTACCTTACCTCGGCCCCCCCATCTTCACAACACAGGGGTGAGATGTTCTGCAGTCCAGAACAGAAATGAACAGGGAAGGCCGATAACACTGTTTGAGGTATCCCTTCCGTACACAAAGAGGATCAACAGGTATTTGTATGTACTTGCAGAAAATGTACTTAGCCTGAAAAAAGAAAAATTATGCAGCCAGTAGATTTAAGGACCGGAATGCTGCAATAGATTACATTTTGTTCTTGGGTTTAGATATACTTTAATTTTCTGATTTGTTTCAAACACGCACTTAAAAAGGTATCTATGGTCAAAAACTGAATCTGTATTTCTATAATTAATTTCCGTAAGTTCTACCCCACTCCTAATAATCATATCAATTAGGCTAGACTAAAGCGGGTGGAATTATCACCGGGTTAAAACGTTTGTAAACTTACTTATTGAAGCCCTGTAAATATGTACTTTCTTGCTCACAACTCTCAGAGTCTGCCTTCTGAGCTACAACTTAACGCCTGAACAATGTAACATTATCATTGCTTGCTGGAAGCAATGCATCATGGGCTCCATCAAGCAGCAGGGAAAGAGATGCAAAGCACTCTGGGAATCCAGGAAGTCGCTGAAAGTGATGGACAGAAGGCAGCACTCTATATAAAAGGGATTTTTTTTCAAGTGATCTTTGGTTGCATTATCAACAACTCTAGTATGTATTCCTATTACAATGCTGAAGTTATAACAGAATAGCATAGGCTGGGACTTTACAACTCCTTTAAAACTGAATTCAAACTGTAAGCAAAAAAAACCTAAAAACTAAAAAGGTGTAAGACACTTGAAAAGGATTAAATCGGCAGTGTAAACTTGTCTGATAAGGCTTGAAGTACCAGGCACGGCTCATTTTTAAATAAAACTACGGATGAAGCTAAACAAAGGGCAATGTTGCCAAAAATGCAGAGAATCTGCCAATATGTACGTCAGGCTCAGCACAGTCCCGTCATACAGGGAGGGTTGGGAGGCCAGCCTTCTCCAGTATTTTCCCCTCTTGTGTATCTGTATATTTTTTAACTGACTCAGACCATGTTAATCACACCTAAACTGCGAAGGAGGTTTGCACAATTGTCTGCATGCTTACATGATGGTGAACACGTATATCCAGAGCGATATCAAGAGTCTCCGTTTCTTTTGTGGCCCTTGGTCAGTTTAAAGGAGAACTATGAGGTGAGTGAAAATCACTCAGCCTCATAGTTCGAGCCGACGTGTGACAATGAAACTGTCACACGTGGGCTCAATAGATCGGGAACTGAGCAAACACATACCGTCGCTCGCTCACTCCTCGATCATTTCCCTGCAGAGAGCAGTGACTGTCACTCACAACTCCCTGCAGGGATTCCCCCCCCCCCTCCCCTGTCAGATCCTAAAGTGCTGACTGGCGGAACGGACGGGGAGGGGGCGGGTGCAGCTGGCTCTACCTCTAGATAGGCAGAGCCAGCTGTCAATCACGCAACTGGGTGGATCTCGACAGTAATGTCGTGATCCGTCCAGGCTGCGGCGGTCTCGGTATACCGCGAGCTACTGAGCTTTGAGTCACGGGAGGACATTAGTTTGTGTCCTCCCGTGACCCTGGGGAGAACTATGGGGAAAAGCACGGGCCCCATAGTTCTCCTTTAAAGACCAATTTCAGCAAGAATGGTTTTGTTTGGGAAGGAGTTTAAAAGGGTCAGTACTTAAGTAATGTTTTTATTGCAGTCCGTGCTCCTTCTCACTTCCTGTCCCAGTGACAGGGTGTGACAGGAAGTAAAGAGGGTTCAGGCCTTCCTGTCCCAATAAGCCCTATTTATCCCATTCCTTGTCTTTTCACAAGGATAAAAGGTGAGGGAAAAATTTCAAATTAAAAGACGACCCCACTCCCTAACATTACTGCTATGTGACCCTGCCATTAACTTGAATGTGCCCATTCAAGTTAATGACAAGGTAACAGCGGCTGCATCTGTCTGTGACTGTCTGCATGTAATCATACATGGTACAATTACCTGCAGTATGGGAGAAATGTTTGCCCCGGGAAACAAAGAGCTTGCATCCCGAGAAAAGCCTCTCTCCCAGTGGGTAGGTAATTGTCCCGTGTACAATTACATGCGGACAGTCATGGACAGATGTGGCCGCTGTCACCCTGTCATTACCTTGAATTGGCACATCAGCCGTATCGAAACAAGCACAGTTGGGATTTCTGCCACATGAATCCACAGGTTCCTGCAGCAGGAATCCCCAGACACCCGTGTGTATGAGGCCTTAAAGCTGATTTTGGTTGATTCCAACAAACCTACCATTGTGCTTTTAGATGGAAACAAGTTACCAGTAGAAACCGGGCAAACAAAGAGAATACAAACGCCATGAAGGCCACGTGCCTGGTAGAAGATGAACCCAGAATTCACTGCAGTAAGGGAGAAAGCAAATCACTATGCCACCATGCTGTCCACATTTTCACAGTGACCAGCTGATCAAGAATGGTCATTGCCAACACACATTTTTACAGTGTTAGAGCAGAGCTGTTTTTTCATGTAATTAGATCTGGAAACTGGACTGGGAGAATATCTTAAACGCATTGCTATGTACAGGTAGGCTCATGCTAGGTTTTGCATGTCATACTTGCCAACAGATCTAAAAGGAGTATTAAACTCTCAAACGTTTTTTTTCAAAAAATAATCCAGAACAACTATACATTACCCCGCTATGTAATTTTTCAAAATTCTGCACAAGCCCCTACAGACATTGTTTCCAAACAGTTCCAACTCTCTCATCTTAGCATTCCTGAACTTCCTGTCCAGAACAAGATCACAAAGGACAAAGAAGTCTCCAGCAACTAGCTTGGAGAAGGTAGCAGGGAGCTGGAGAGTGGCTGGCTGTGCATGTGTTTGTGGACACCCACAGCTTACTAGCACACACAAGTGTGGCTCCATAGGACCCTGCAAGGGAAAGGAGCCAGCCTACAACAGGATATCAGAGCCAGTGCTCAGGGGACCAGTTGATTCTGCAGGAAACAAACTTTTAAACATCAAGAGCAGCATTCATTGTAACCGATTTAACCAGCATTTGAAATAGCTGAAATACCTTTTGACATTAATAGCAATTTAATTAAAATGTGAATGTTCACAGTTGCTGTATTCTAGAACACTAAACCTCGCCTTAACATAACACTATGCTAAATTCCAACAAATTAAAAATTCGAACTACTTATTTTGTCACTGCCGAAACTATGGGACTACCCTGCACCAGAATCGGAACAGAATGATCCCTCTGCGCCACAAAATCAAAGCAGCAGTGAGAGGCTGGCACCAAAACAGATCCGGTGCCCAAAGGCCTCCTCCCTAATGGATATATGCAGTACATATTTACCTGCAACCTATCAAGGATCATTTAAGGACCTTTCTAATGATCTAAAATGAAAAGACCACTGGGATTATATGCCCAGTCTTTCAGTACTTCTAACTTACAAAATAACCAATAATACCAGGAAGACCTTTTGTAGGCTTTTTGCATTTCTGTAGCAAATGCAATATCTCATATTACCAACTTACATTTTGGCTTTATTATTTCTTTCCCTGTATACTTCCTCTTCACATATGATAGATTTCTGTAGCTGAACAGTGCCTTTGTTTCCGCTATATTATAACATGTTAAAATAATCCACCTGCCTCTTTTTTGCCGTGAGTGTCAGTACA